CTGTTTCAATTCCATTGCCCGCCTGTATATTTCAGACAATAATTTGTTTTTTCTTTTGTTAATATTACAGTTGGGTACTTATATTAAGTTTTTTTTTTTGTACCTTGTTATACTTTGTTCAATGTTGACTTTTTGGACCTATGACTATTAGTAACAAGTCTTATAAATTCATTTTTATTTATGCTTCCACTCAAATCATTAATTTTAGACACAATTTCATTTTTATCAAGTTTGATAACATGTGAGGTTAGAATTCTTCTGGAACCTTTATTTTTAAGTTCTGTCCCATTAGAGGCGGAAAATCGATCTTGATTATTTTGTTGTTGTTTCTTTAAAATTACTAGTGCTTATTTATATCATTATTATTTTTGAAAATGGTGATTTGTTCAATCTTCAGTGTTTCATTTTTATTTACAGTTATGACCCGGCAAACGTTGTTTTCTAAGTATAAGGTATGTCTAAACAATTTTTAGAGTATAAAAAAAGAATACTTTATTTAGGAGTGTAAGGATGTGTTTTTTGAATGGTACAGACAATGAGGTGTTATAAACACAATAAACCCCAAAGTCTACTTATAATAATGAATTATATAATTCATAATAACAATATTCGTTTATCCATATTTTGTTAATACAATCAAACTGGAAGTTTCATACACTTTCTATAAAAATATGGTATAATTCAATCCAAGTCTTTTTTAGTCTTTAGCCATGGTCAATGTTCAGTTGGTCAATTTTGCCCCACACAGATTTGAGTTTTTAAATTGGTTATATAAGAAAACTGTTGAATCTCACTCAAAATTAACATTACTTTCAATAAAACAATTAAATAGCGTTAGTTAAAATTTATATTAAGGTCTCGTGAACTAAATCACAGTGCTCACAACCCGAAAAACTAAGAACAAAAGAAATACTTTGTTAAGGATTTTCAAAGATTACCGTTTATCTCTCGATAGAAAAGTGAATGCGAGCTTTATAATCAATTTTCAAAATATTTTATTCCAAAGAACTTGTAATTTTATGCATTGACATTTTTACAGCCTTTATACTCTTCTTTTATCTATGTTTACAGCTGTGTGTTCCAAAATTATATTATCAACCGAATCATCTTATTTAATGGTAAGTTGGCGACAAATTGAATTATCGTACCTCATGACTATCTCCTGCATAAAAATATTCCATTAAATATAAGTGACTCTTATAATTTCTGATTAACTCACATATACCATTTGTTAAACAAAGATAAAATGTATGTCGGTTTTAACTTTATTAACTTCCCGAAGGAGAAGTTTATGTTCTCATCAAAAAATCCGATTCGCTAATTTTATGTTTTCTCGACGTTTTAAGCCATTCTGAATCGTATGAGATCAAATTTGGAAAAAGTATGTGTGTGAACAGATGTTTTGCCGTAAATCGACGTTTTCTCGAAAACGGCTGGGTCGATTTCAAAAATTTAAAAACCATTCGATGTATCTCGATGAGGACTATCGTTTGTCAGTTTTGTGGGACGATCGGCCGAGACGTTTCTTTTAAATAGCAGAAAAGTGAAAAATTTTTTGTGCACGTTTTAGCCCGCAATTCTGAACCGATTATGAAAATTCAAAAACCGTTCGAAAGATATTGGTTGGGAATCGTGCTGATTAGTTTTTGGTAAAGATCGACCGGGCCGTTTTCTTGTAATAAAGTGTAAAAACATTTTTTTCGACGATTTTTATTTTTATTTTTTTGACGATAGATATCATAGTTTTCTAGATCATACTAAAATATTACGGCCCTACGACAACTCGTTTAGCTTTAAAAATTCGTCAAAGTTTGCAAAAATTGGTATCGTTTTTTTGGCATTTGTCAAATTAGACCTTTGATCGACGTTTTCTCAAAAACGCCTGAACCGATTTCAGAAATTTAAAAGCTATTTGATGTATCTCGATTAGGACTATAGTTTTTCAGTTTTGTGCGTTATGTCCACACTGCACATACGAGTTCAAACATGAACGAACAATTCTCTTTGATGTACCGACAAGTTGCGGAACATTGCTCGCCATGTTTGTTTGTGTTCGTTCGTGTTCGTTGTGGCGTCCACACTATGCTGTTGCCGTTTGTTCTGGTACGTACATTCATGTTCGTTCGTTAGGTGTGGATCCGCCTTAAGGGTAAGTTATAGCTCTTGTACAAAAATCGAAAAGGAATTTAAATTATTGAAAAGTTGAATGAAAATGATTTATCGACTAAAAGTTATGTAGCTGGTATAAATATTCAAACAAGCAGGCCTTCTATCATAAAAAATGTTTTATTGAAGCAATGTCTAAAACTGATGACTTAATCTTCTTCTTCTAATATATAAAAATGGAGCTCGGTAAAATGTTAGGTATGGTAAAACGTTAAAATGGTTGTATGGATTTGGCCAGTCTTAGTCTTGCTGGCCAGTCGTGCTAATCGTAGAAACTTAACATTTTTAATTTGAAAATTTTTGTAGAAGCGTAATTTGAATGAAACATTGGACGGCGGCTCCTATGTCAAATGTCAAATGTTTTTGACAGTTGATGTTCAATTACTTTTAATAGGATGTTTTAGATGAATATTATCTAATTGTAGTAGGTAGTTTTGTTTGTAGTTTTATTTATACACAAAAACGTTATTTATTAAGCGGGCGGCAAGTGTTATTAGAAACTCAAAATATCAACTTGTTTAAAATGTTAATATAAAAATGCACTCTTTGGCGTTATAGCACTTTTTTTTTGCAAATCATATTTTTCTTAAACTCGGTGCTCTGAATAACTATTTAACTTATTTGCATAATTTAATATTCGTTAGAATTTATAAAGCATTCTCTAGATTATATTATTATTTTATTTAGAATGTTTAAATTAAAACCCTAAATTCGGAATCGATCAAAGGGGACATTTTCGAATAACTTATTCCCAGATATAACAGACCACAACAAACAATCATCTAACGCCGATGTTC